GCAAACCGTGTTGTCACTCCGGTTTGCCTCACTTTTCAAAATTCTCCGGTCATAACCGCATAGCTGCCGCCGTCGTTGCTATTCTCAACGACCTTCTGGCAAACTTTTTCATCGGCAGAAACCTCCACACGCGCCACCTCCGTCTCTGCGCGTGGGCATCAAGCGCCGCCACCTGAAACGCACGTGACAGCACGTCCGGCCAGCGATCGATCGCGTGATATTTTCTCTCTTCAGATACTCATGGCTACTCCTCAGAACTTTACGACAAACTACGATGATTTCCTCAGGTGGTATCAGAATTATCAGAACTCAGATTCTACTGCTAAGGTAGCACACACTGGTAATTTATCTGTTTGCGTCTCTCAATCATCTCCTCTTCGACCTTGGGTCCTTGATTCTGGTGCGTCTGATCATGTTACTGGTAATAAAAATTTGTTCTCTTCCCTCTCTACCTCTGGTTTCTTACCTACTATAACTTCGGCCAATGGTTCTCAAACCCGATCCGAAGGGATTGGTACTGTTCAAATTCTACCTTCTCTATCTGTTACTTCTGTCCTCTATGTACCTAATTGTCCATTTAATTTACTTTCAGTCAGTCGTTTAACTCGTTCTCTTGATTGTAGTATCACCTTCACTAATAATAATGTTACCCTGCAGGATCGGAGTTCGGGAAAGACGATTGGCGTCGGATATGAGTCTCGAGGCCTTTACTACCTTTCATTGTCATCTCAGACATGCTCAACCAAAGATTCTCCACTCACTATCCATGCTCAGTTAGGTCATCCCAGTCTTTTCAAATTACATAAGTTGGTGCCAAATTTATCGAAGGTATCTAATTTACATTGTGAGTCGTGGCAATTAGGGAAACACACTCGTAGTCAATTTCCCTGTCGAGTCAACAAACGAGCTTCGTCCCCTTTTGCTTTAGTTCACACCGATGTTTGGGGTCCCTCGCGTACTGTCTCTACTCTTGAGTCTAGGTATTTTGTCACCTTTATTGATGATTTTTCACGTTGCACGTGGTTATTTTTAATGAAGAATAGATCTGAATTGTTTTCCATTTTTGAACAATTTTCTCGAGAAATAAGAACCCAATTTGGTTTGTCTATTCGTAACTTAAGAAGTGACAATGCACGTGAATATTTATCCCAACAATTTCAAACATTTATGTCATCCAATGGTATTTTGCACCAAACATCTTGCGCTCATACACCCCAACAAAACGGGGTAGCCGAACGCAAAAATCGGCACCTCGTAGAAACCACTCGGACCCTACTTCTCCATGGTAATGTTCCTCTCCGGTTTTGGGGAGATGCAATGCTCACGGCATGTTACCTCATAAATCGCATGCCATCATCTGTCCTTAATAATAAAATCCCTCATTCAATCTTGTTTCCAAACTCTCCACTCCACCCAATTCCTCCTCGAGTCTTCGGGTCCACGTGTTTTGTACACAATCTCTCCCCTGGTCTTGATAAACTATCAGCTCGATCACTAAAGTGTGTCTTTCTTGGCTATCATCGATCCCAAAAAGGTTATCGTTGCTACTCACATACTCTACAACGATACCTCGTATCCGCCGATGTTACCTTCTTCGAGTCTGTTCTATATTTCGAATCCAGTCAAGTTACTACGGAACCTCTACAGGAAAGTATTCCCACACCTCTTCCGAAAGTCCTATCTGTCATTATCCCCCATCATTCTAGAGAACCGGACTCACTAGTTACCCCTACGGTTGACCCCCCCACTCCTCGCCCACTTCAAACATATCAGCGTCGTCACCCAAAGTCTGTCGTACCTGTCCCTGAAGTCGTACCTGTCCCTGAAGTCGTACCTGTCCCTGAGGTCACTACGGTCGTACCTGTCCCTGAAGTCGTACCTGTCCCTGAGGTCACTACAGACTCTCCTCCGACGCTCTCGCCATCACCGGATTCGATCCTGCAACCTGAGTCTGATCTTCCGATTGCCCTTCGAAAAGGTATACGTCAAACACGAAATCCTTTTCCACATTATATTGATTTATGTTATCATCGTCTTTCCCCTTTGCAGTATACTTGTTTGTCTTCTTTGTCTTCTGTTTCTATTCCTAAAACTACAGGTGAAGCATTATCTCAACCTGAGTGGAGGCAAGCAATGATTGATGAAATGTGTGCTCTTCAAAGCAGTGGTACTTGGGAACTGGTTCCTCTACCCCATGGAAAATCTTTAGTAGGTTGTCGTTGGCTTTATACAGTGAAGGTTGGTCCAGATGGCAAGATTGATCGATTTAAAGCCCGCTTGGTAGCCAAAGGATACACTCAAATTTTTGGGTTGGATTATAGTGATACCTTCTCGCCTGTAGCCAAGATGGCATCTGTTAGACTTCTTCTAGCCATTGCAGCCATTCGACATTGGTCTCTTCATCAACTTGACTTCAAAAATGCATTCTTACATGGTGATCTTGAAGAGGAAGTATATATGGAGCAACCACCTGGGTTTGTTGCTCAGGGGGAGTCATCGAATATGGTTTGTAGGCTACACAGGTCTCTTTATGGTCTTAAACAATCTCCGAGAGCTTGGTTTGGCAGATTCAGCACTGTAGTACAACAGTTTGGTATGATCCGTAGTGAAGCTGACCATTCTGTTTTTTATCGTCACTCACCCCAAGGGTGTATTTATCTTATTGTGTATGTAGATGACAATGTCATAACTGGTAGTGATCAGCAGGGAATACTCCAGTTGAAACAACATCTCTCGAAACAATTTCAGACAAAAGATCTTGGTAAACTCCGCTATGTCTTGGGTATTGAAGTAGCCCAATCTAAAGATGGTCTGGTCATTTCTCAGCGGAAATATGCTATGGATATTTTGGAAGAAACAGGTTTGTTAAATGCTAAACCAGCTGATACTCCTATGGATCCAAGTGTTAAACTACTACCCAATCAGGGGGAGCCTTTATCTGACTCAGGAAGATATAGGAGATTGGTTGGAAAGTTGAATTATCTCACCGTCACTTGTCCGGACATTTCTTTTGCAGTCAGTGTGGTAAGCCAGTTCTTAAATTCCCCTTGTCAGGAACACATGGATGCTGTTATCCGGATTTTGAGATACATCAAATGTGCTCCAGGAAAAGGTCTTGTGTATGAGGATAAAAGACATACCCAGATAATTGGATACTCTGATGCTGATTGGGCAGGGTCACCCATTGATAGACGATCCACTTCTGGGTATTGTGTACTTGTTGGAGGAAACCTTATCTCCTGGAAAAGTAAGAAACAAAATGTAGTTGCAAGATCAAGTGTCGAGGCAGAGTATAGGGCCATGGCAATGGCAACATGTGAACTTATTTGGTTAAAACAGTTGCTCAAGGAACTTCAAATTGAAGAAGTAAGACCAATGACACTTATTTGTGATAATCAAGCTGCATTGCACATTGCTTCAAATCCAGTCTTCCATGAGAGGACCAAACATATTGAGATAGATTGTCACTTTGTCAGAGAGAAGATCGAGTCAGGCGACATCGTCACAAGCTTTGTCAACTCTAATGATCAATTGGCAGATGTGTTTACAAAATCCCTACGAAGCCCCAGAACTAACTATATATGTAACAAGCTTGGTGCATTTGACTTGTATGCTCAAGCTTGAGGGGGAGTGTTGATATGTGTAAATATATATATATAGTGTTGAGAATATTTGTATATAGAATAGTCCCACATCGACTATATCATGTAATTACTTGTATTCTATTTATATATAATAATGTCTCCGTAGTGCTTTTCAAAACACACGGTTTATTCAAATGTCTCTTAGTCTCTTGTATTTCAACAGATATCACTGAGGTGATTTAGGAATTGAGATGGGTTTCTCTTATCTAGATGGTGATTTCTAGATAGAATTGTACTGGGTAGGTATTAAGTGAGGAGTTGTAAACGAGGAAGTTTAGTTCTAAATTAATACTACTAATAGTGGATTCATTTCTGACTTGGTAGTCCCCAGATGTAGTTGTTGTTGTTCACCGAACTGGGTCATCATATCTTGGCGTTATTTATCATTCTGTTATGAATATTTCAATTTTGTCTCTTGCTGTAAAATTCATGTCTTAACAGATGTCGAAACATATGTCGTCGCACTGTTTTGCTTTTGACATATCAGTTTGTTTTGGTATGTTCTGTTAGGTCTTTATTTAGTTATGCAAAGATTAATGTCTCGACATCTCTTGGGACATCTGTAATCTGTATATCAGAATTTCATGAATGAATCTGTAGGACATAACCACTTTGGTCATGTGGATTGCTGGTTCATTGGTTGCAGATAATGGTTTGATCATGGATAATGTTTTATTTGATGAAACAGTACATTAGAATGAGCAGATGGGCAGAACTTGACCTTCATTTCAGACTCCTAACCCTTTTTCTTAGACTCTTTAGACTCATGATATGTGTTTGAGTGACTCTGAATGAGTCAACTTAGTGTGCCTTGCTATAACCATAAACTCGTACAGATCCAAGTTCACTTACAATATTTTACAACAATAACCAAAAGAGAATAAATTAATCATTTTGAAATGATAACCTTTTTTATGCTTTCAATCAGACCCGTCTTTCATTATGACGGCTTAAGTATTTACATTTCGCTATGGTTAATCATACTGACAAAATCATGATATAACTAACACTTTTCTTCATTATACTTGAGGAGTAAACACAATAACTACGACTTGTTTCCATCCTTAACCATCAATCACCATTATAACTTCTTGAATATTCAAGTGTTTCTCGGCACTATGCCACGCATGTTGACCTCGATTTTCATCCTGATGCCCATATACATGTAGTAGATCACAATTCATCAAAATTATGTTTCTCAGCATAAAACCCTCCTTTTTTATCCGGTTGTCCATATACATAATAGTAGATTGTAAATCATTAAGATTATGCATTCAGGACGTGTTTTCCTAGGCAAACTTTAGCCAAATTTATATTGGTTTGTATTATCCGGTGATTTCTATTTTAACTTTACAGGAACTTGAGCTCTAATTTGTTGGTGGGTGAAGTACCGTCTGGCCTCGGTCAAAAATCCCTTATACACCTGTAAGTTCAAGGTTCTTAGATTATACGCAAAATGCTTCACAAATCTCCACTGATTGGAGTACCTCATAGGATTAGTTCATATTTTGTTTACCCGTTCTTTCATTACTGAACATTCGTATTTAATAAGATATTTCTTTCATTATGTTTTTTTTTTGAGGAACATGCCATCTGACATCAGTCCTCCACTTAATAGGATTTTCAGTTTGGTCTGTGGTTGATAATTAAATATCATTTTATTCTCTAGGAACCAATTTGTTGTTATTTTAAGGCACAATTTCATGGCATAAAATTTAAATTGAATGATCCATTTGATTTTTTATTCATTTATAAATAGAAGGCCAAAATATATATAACTGAATATAATATATCCACATTTTGTATGTTTTTCTTGCATGTGTAAAATATGGAGCAACTCTTTGGCAAAAGTATAGTTTGTAATTATATTATGATGTAATTTATGTGGTATTTTACGTATTTCATTTGTAATTTATACTGTAGGGACTTGTCCAACAATCAATTAACAGGCTCAATTCCAGATAGTATAGCTTCTTCAAGTTTGCAGCTTGTGTAAGTAACGGCTGCAGGTTTGGTTAAAATGTTACCTTAAGAGTTAAGATTCAGATTAATGAATAAAATTATAAACTATTGAATGAAAAGTAAAAACTGAATTATGCCACCTCTGGTCGATTAGATTAGTTATGCGAATTAGGATTTATTATTTTATTTAGCTTTAATAAGTTAGTATTTTAGAATTTTTAAATTTGAATTTCAGTATTTGAAGTATAAGATTTAGGTTAAAACAAAATTTATCTATTAAATATGATTATTATTATTTAAATTTAAATGATAGTAGGAAGAGTAGTTACTGACCTAATTTAACTAGGGATTCTTCTTTTTATTGTAAGTCTATTTATTCAAATTAGCAATAAAATTCATCAATAACTATTATAAAAAATACTTGAGAATTCAAGAAGAGACTCTTTCAAGGACGAGTCCTATTCTACCTTTACCATAGGTCAAAGCAAAACTTCTACCTTGTCTAAGACTGTGTCAACAAGATTCAAGACAAGAGACCATTGGTATCTAGAACCAACATGGGTGACACCGATTTAGCATCAGCCATGAAGAAATTCATTGAACAAATAAAGACCAGGCAGACGCTCAGACAGACTGCTTTAGAAGAGCAGATGACAACCAGGCAGATTGCTCAAGAAGAACAAATTACTAACCTCTCCATCATAATTCAATGTGCTAATACTAGTTTAAGAAAAGATAATTCAAGAGATGGAGGAAATAGTAGTGGCAACAATAATGACCATAGAGACAAAAACAACTCGCAAATGGAAGGAAACATGATTCTGCGCTATTCCAAAATGGAATTTCCCACTTATGATAGGACAAGGGACCCATTAGGGTGGCCGAGGCGTTGTGATAGGTTTTTTCTAAACCAAAGAATTGTGGAAGGTGATAAGGTGGGATTAACAACGTTACATTTCATAGGAGAAGTGTAACTATGGTTTGATTAAATGGAAGAAGAAGAATCTAGAATGGTGTGCGAACGCTTCAAGGAACGTTGCCATATATGGTTCAGACCACATATGAGCAATAATCGATTGGGAGAACTCGCTAACCTCAAATAAACCGGATCCATGGATGATTATCAACGCCAATTTTAGTCATTGCTTGCTAGAACCCACAATCTTAAACCTAAACAATAAGTGGGCTTATTTAGACGTTGAGCTTCAACAACCACAAAATCTTGGAGTTTCTATGAATATGGCTCCAGCATTTAAACAGAAACTGAAGTGCTCACGAGGAATGCTTACGGCACGGATAAATAGTAGTCGAAGTTGTTAATCAGGAAATAATCTTTGCAGTTATTGTGAATAATTTACATTCATAGAATAGGAAATTAGTCATTATGAATTGTAATTAGTTATTATGAGCTGTAATTAGTTATTATGAGTTGTAATTACCGACACTATTATATATAGTATGAAAGGCAATGAGAAAGGCATCAAGCCAAATTTCATGACATGGTATCAGTAGGTTCGATCAAACCTGGAAAATATTATTATATTGGCTGATCAGCGATACCCCACTGGTTCGCTCTCGTAATCGTGTTCGTTTCAAAATTCTTTTTTTTGAAATCGAAACCTTGCAGCTGTCTGAGATTCTAAATCTTTGGTTGCCGGTTCGTGATTTCGTCTTGGAGATTCTCGTTGTTGCGCTGATATTGCAATCAATTTTTTTTGGTTCTAGGCCGTTGTTGCTTCGTGATTCTGGATCGTCATAATCTTCTGTTTTGCCGCTCCTTCCAAATCGTGGATTTGATCCTGTTGTTCGTTGGTTCGTGGGTATTGTTTCTTGTTGCTGCTCTCGTAATTAAGATAACCCCTCCTGCTCTCGTAACTGTAATCTGTGATTACAATTACTGTTATTATATTATTATAATAATAATAATAATTATTTTTATAATTATAATAATAATAAAATAATATTAGTGAGATTGTAACTGGTGGCTTAATAATTTAGATGGCTTCCGAAAAAGAAAGAGATAATTTTTGTGTTCGTTTTACCGACAAGAATTATTTGGCATGAGAATTTCAGTTCAAGATGTATGTTAAAGGAAAGGGATTATGGAGTCACTTAGATGATGTTTCTAAGGCACCAACGGAGAAAACTGCTTTAGATGCGTGGGAAACTAAAGATGCTCAAATTATCACTTGGATTCTAAACAGTATTGATCCTCAGATGATAAATAATTTGCGTTCTTTTTCAACTGCTTAAGAAATGCGGAATTATTTGAAGCGCATTTACAAGTAGGACAATTCGGCAAAACGTTTTCAGTTGGAGTTAGACATCGCCAACTACAAACAAGGTGATTTGTCTATTCAAGAATACTATTCTGGTTTTTTGAATCTTTGGGCAGAACACTATGCTATTATACATGCTAATGTTCCCAAGACCTCTCTTGCGGCTGTTCAAGAGGTCTACAACACAAGTAGGCGAGACCAATTCCTCATGAAGCGTCGTCTAGAATTTGAGGTTGTTAGAGGTGCTTTGCTAAATAGGAATCCTGTTCCTTCTTTGGATACATGTGTTGGTGAACTTCTCAGGGAGGAACAACGTCTCCTTACTCAAGGAACCATGTCTCATGATACTGTCAGTTCTGGGCCTGTGGTAATTGCATATGGTGCTCAAAGTAGAAATAAAGGCCGTGATATGCAACATGTCCAATGTTTTTCTTGCAAACAGTTTGGACATATTGCTCGTAGCTGCAGTAAGAAGTTTTGTAATTATTGCAAACAACAAGGTCATATCATTTCTGACTGTCCCACACGTCCTCCACGATCAGCACATCATTCGGTGAAGGCATTTCATGCCACTACAGGCCATACAATTGGCTCTTCCACCACTGGTGCATCAGATGGCAATGCTCTGCAACCTGAAATGATCCAACACATGGTACTTTCTGCCCTTTCAGCCTCGGGTATTAAGGGTAAGTCTTCTCATGTTTCTCGTCCATGGTTTATTGATTCTGGTGCATCCAATCACATGACAGGTTCATCTGAAAACTTGCACAATTTACATTCTTATCATGGTAATCAGAAAATTCATATTGCCAATGGTAATACCTTGTCTATCACTAACGTTGGGGACATAAACTCGGATTTTCAGAATATGCTTGTCTCACCTGGACTTGCTTCTAATTTATTGTCTGTTGGTCAATTGGTGGACAATAATTGTAATGTTAATTTTTCTCGGTCTGGTTGTCTTGTGCAGGAGCAGGTGTCGGGGAAAGTGATTGCGAAAGGGCCTAAAGTGGGAAGATTGTTTCCAATACAGTTTATTTCTAATCATTTGTCTCTTGCTTGTCATAGTGTTTTGAATTCCTATGAGGATTGACATAGAAAACTAGGTCATCCAAACTCTTTTGTTTTGTCTCATTTATGTAAAAGTGGCTTGTTGGGAAATAAAAATGTTATTCCTGATGCCTCTGTTTCATGTTTTGTTTGCAAATTGGCTAAAAGTAAAACACTTCCTTTTCCTGGTGCTAATCGTGCTTCCACTTGTTTTGAGATGATTCATAGTGATGTATGAGGAACATCTCCTGTGGTTTTTCATGCTCACTATAAATATTTTGTCACATTTATTGATGATTATAGTTGTTTTGGATATATTTTCTTCGAATTTATTTCTCCGTTCTAAATCCGAAGTGTTTTCTATGTTTAAGAAATATTTGACATATGTTGAAACTCAATTTCAAGCAAGTGTTGAAATTTTTCGATCTGACTCTGGTGGTGACTACATGTCTCATGAGTTTTAGGAATACCTTCAACAAAAAGGCATCTTGTCTCAACGGTCTTGTCCCAATACCCCTCAACAAAATGGCATGGCAGAACGTAAGAATCGTCATTTGCTTGATGTAACACGCACCTTACTTCTCCAAGCTTCTGTACCATCCCGATTTTGGGTGGAGGCTCTTTCCACTGCTGTCTTCTTGATCAATCATATTCCTTCTACAGTTATTGATCTTGATTCTCCTTTCTTCCGTCTATTTAAAATTCATCGTGATTATAGTGCTTTACATACTTTTGGGTGTGTGTGTTTTGTTCACTTACCTCCTTTTGAAAGGCATAAGCTTGGAGCACAATCCGTTCAATGTGCATTTATGGGATATAGTAACTCTCATAAGGGATTTGTGTGTTATGATGTCTCTAACCATCGTTTTCGCATTTTTAGAAATGTGACATTTTTTGATAATCAGTTTATGTTTCCCTGTGGTTCTCCTGCCATTAATGATATTGTTACTCTTCCTAAATTTTCTATTATGCCTCAAGCTATAGAACGTTATAAACCAGGTCATGTATATGTCAGAAAACACAGACAACAGGTTCCCACACCCCTTCCCGATGCTGAACTGCCACCTGATCCTGTACCGGTTGAACCACGACGTTTTGGTCGAATATCTCGCGCACTAGATAGATATTCACCAGACAGGTATGATTCCTCACATACTTCTCTGACTGCCACACTCTCTAGCATATCTATTCCTACTTGTTACTCACAGTCTGTTAAAGATGTGCAATGGATAAAAGCAATGACTGAAGAGCTCCAAGCTCTTCAAGAGAATTTCACATGGGATATCGTCACTTGTCCTCCAGATGTAAAACCTATAGGTTGCAAATGGGTGTATTCTGTGAAATTGAATTCTGATGGGTCCCTCAACCGTTACAAGGCTCGTTTGGTTGCGTTAGGAAACAAGCAGGAATATGGAATTGATTATGATGAGACATTTGCACCGGTTGCCAAAATGACAACTGTCCGCACGATCATGTCTATAAATGCTTTTAGTGGGTGGACTCTTCATCAAATGGATGTGAAGAATGCTTTTCTTCATGGTGACCTAACAGAAGATATTTATATGACTCCACCTCAAGGCTTATTCTCTTCATCTAAAGGCGTGTGTAAGTTTAAACGCTCCTTATATGGTTTGAAACAGACACCTCGAGCATGGTACGAGAAATTCCGCTCCACTATACTTGGATTCTCCTTTACTTAGA